CCTGGGCTTGCACTGTGATGATGATGATGAACTGCTTTTTGTAGTGAAAGAGAAAGATATAATAATAACAGATGAATTTATATTTATAATTGCGTATATAGTCATAGACTTACACCCATAGTTGGTATATATTTCTGTGTTTACTGGTAAATTGGGCTAATAGTTAATAACTGTTTGTTTGCTTTTGGTTCCCTTTGTTGTTCTGTGCAGAGAAAAGAAAAAGTATTAATTGATATATATGTTTTCTTAATTGCATACACACACGAGCATATCTAGAGTTCTGTGATATTGTTCTGCAGTTGACGCTTCTCTCAGTTTTTCTTGTTTCTTTTTCTTTTTGTGGGTGTTGTGTGCTTTGCCGTTCACTTTGCTGTTGGATTGTTTTGTGTGTGGAAAAACAATAATAAGAAATACACATATATTCATAATTGTATACGTGGTTCGACCGGAAGTGGAAATGTTTTGTATTTCTGTGCTTTGTGCTTCTGATGATCGTTCTCTCAATGCTTTTTCGTTTTTGAGGGATTTATTGGGATTATCTTTTCCGTGCTGGGCATTCTGTTCTTTGTTGGGCTCTTTAATCTTTGTGCGCGTTGCCTTGCCTTGTTAGTTTGCTAGGTTTTGTTTTTTTTTATCTTTTTCTCCCTTTTTTTCTTCTGTTTTTGTTTGTATCTTTTTTGTTCTTTATTTACTTCTCTTCTTTTTTCTTTGAGTTTTGGTTACATTGAACGATTCAAGTAGCTTTTTTCAATGATGTTGCTGCGACGACTGTTGTTTTTTATGGCATTGCTTTTGACTGTTGCCTGTGTGTGTGTGGCGTCTGGAGAGACTGGAGAGGCAGAGCGTACATGTTCTGATCCCTCATCTGTATCTGATAATGGTGGTTGTGATGCAGGAAAGAAGGGCTCCAAGAGTGATAATGAAACTGACGTAGCAAAAGCTAATCCTCTTGGGTGTCCAGACCCTTCAGGCAATGAAAAGTGCCCTACCGAAAAGGATAGTGAAAGTGAAGGTGATTGCCCTCAAGGTTCTAAAACTTCTTGTCCACAACCTAAAGATTTGAAGGAATCCACTCTCACTCCATCAATGGGACCTGTTCTACCTGGTGGACAGCTTAGTCCTGGCGAAAGTGGAACT